TTCCGACTGGGATCTTGTTGCCTAGGGAAGAGAAGAAGTCCAAAAGGTCAAAGAAGGTTGATCCTGCTTCCTCTTCAAAGAAAACCAAGGATTCGAAATCCTCAAAGTCTCCAAAGCAAAAGCCTGAACCTGTTGAAGTATCTATTACTAAAACACAAGTGATTGCGCCCATTGTTCAAGATACTCAAGAGAAGGTAATCATTCCTTCGAAAACAGGAATGTTTCGAAGAATAAAAATGAAGTCCACTCGCAAACGTCAGTCTCCTACACAAAAGATGGTTCGCAAACCACAGATAACTCACCAAGGAGTATTAATTCGCGAAGTACCAGCACCAGTTTCTCTGGGGTCAAAGAAAAGGATGGCTGAGGATATGGCCAAGAAGTTGTCACAGAAAAAGAAGAAGAAGGCTCGAAAGCTGGTAATTTCCACTGAGTCGACTGAAGATGATGAAGAAAGAGTTCCAGAAACTCCTGAGAAGACAATTATCACACCACCCGAAGTCTCGATTGCCAAATCAATTTTTGAGGAGGTTCGAACTTCAGGCATCTCTGCACACGTATCTGATACGGATGCAAATGTCGATATGGGTGAAGGAGGTTCGAAGCCTGAAGATAAAGGTCCTGTTATTTCTACTCCCTTCAAAACTATTGTTTCTGTCTCACCATCTCCTATTCCCATTACATCATCTACTCATTCTCCAACCTTCGAACATATTCTTGATCAACCTTTTACCTTAATCTTTTCTTCACAATCAACTGATCCACTCAAATCAACTTCACCCATTCAAGAAACCATTGAAATGGAAACTGAGCATGATAATGAGGGGTTTGGTGGTACATTTGAAGATTTGGAATTTCAAGATGAAGAAGAGGAATTTCCTGATCATATGCTGATGACTATGAAGCAGTATAAAATTCTTAATCAGAAATTGAATTCTATAATTCAATCTCAAGCAGATCTTGGAGGAGGTTCATCAGTATCAAGTCTGGAAATTGATACTATGTTAAAGATGATGGAATCACGAATAATTAGCAAAGTCTTTTGGAATGGTGAAAGATTATGAGTCTATTATTTTGGAGAAGGTTGATTACACTGATCAGAATAATGAACTTCGTGTTAAATCTCAAAGATCAGATTTTATGGGTGAGGTCAAGAATCTGAAAAGCATAACAAAAGAACGTCATGTTCTTTTTGTTCAAGAAGTGAAGAAGGTGAGGGAAGATGTCAACATGCAAATTCGTGAACTCCGCGAAGAAATGCAAAAGGGAAGTTGCAGCTGTTCACCATGATTATGCATCTGTGAATCAAAAGGTGGATATCATTTGTGATGCGGTAACAAGATTTGTGAAGTTATACGAAAATTTGAGTCCTCAAATCTCAACATCTGAAACTGCAAGTTTTGAGGAAGTGATAAAGCTGCTCAAAGAGTTAAAGGAAATTTCAGAAAGACCGGTTTCGTATCCATTGATTACTCCGGAATTTCTATCTCAAAAGTTTGTTCAATTCGAAGCTATACTTAATAAACAACTTGCCCCGCTCTTTCGCATAACCAGTCTTCTTCCAACAACAACTGCCCCTCCTGTTTTCACAGGGGTGCAAGGGGGAGAAAGGAAGTCAGGAGAAGAAGATGCGAAAGTGGTGGGCAAAGTATTTTCTTCGAACATCCCTTCAACAAAACCGGTGATTGTATCTGCTGAACCAGTGACTTCAACTATCATAACAACGATGCCAACTACAAGAACAATTTCGAAAGGAATTGTAATTGGTAAACCTTTGGAAACTGGTGGGAGTGGATCGAAGCCAAAAGAAGTAACTGAAAAACCTGCTTCAAAAGACAAAGGGAAATCGATTCTTGTTGAAAAATCAAAGGAAGAAAAGAAGGCGGAAGCGGAAGCTGAGATTGAAAAGCTCAGAATTGTTCAGAGTATAATGGTACAGAGAGCAAGTGATCCGAAGGGAATGAATAAAGGGGATCCAGCTAAACACTATAACTACGAGACAATTGAGGCCAAGGTTGCTTTCAATCACATGTATACATTCGAAAAGAAACCTAAGCAAAGCTATTTGGTCACAAATACTGATGCAAGTCAGCTGGATTTCCCAATAAATGAAATGATGTTTATTATGCCACAATTCAAAGCTGAAGGGAATTTCAAAGAAAAAGATGAAGGCACACACATGAAAATTCGTTTTCATGCTGTTCTTGGAAAAGCCCCTGAGGAAGTATGGTCTCTGATCAAAATAAAGAAAGTGATCAGCATGAAAAAGGATGTGGTTTTCGAAACACAGTCCAAAATTTTAAATATGTGGTTGCCAGGGCAGATGGAAAGATTTGTGAATTCACTGTTGCAGATTTTCCATTGATGAACTTGTATGATCTCATACAAGTTGCATTGCTTTTAAAAGACAAATCTTTTCATTCCTACAAAACACAGATCCAGAAGAATTCAAGATTGGAGTTGCTCACATCAAAATCTTCATCGAAAATTATTATGAGTGTTTGGCAATGACCGATGTGGAGTTAGCAACTGCCAAGGGAATGGAAATAAAAGCTCCAATGGCTCCTTCGAAGACTCAGACTGAATTGAAGAAATATGCTGATGGAGAAATTTGTCTTAAGCCATTTGGAATAGTTTTTGCTGGAAAAGACAAAACAGGAAAAGCTAAACGATTCTTGTTCCAGGCAAGTGAAGTAGAAAGGTACTCTACGTCTCAATATACGAACTTAATTGTTCGTATGAATCATTGCAAGAAAAACAATGAAGGAGACAAGAAGGAGTTAAAGAAGATTATTTCATGGTATACAGAGGTTCGAAGAGTTTTGCTGTACTCCATCACACTTCTTACGAACTGAAGACTTCGACTATGATTACAAAGGGGGAGATTGTTAGAGTCGAAGTGTTGTAATTAGTCGAAGTATGTTTTGGTGTCTTCGAACATTCTGTAATTTATTTTACTAGGGCATTGTATTCGAAGCTTAACGCTTAGTCCTTAGTATATTTTTTGTACGCTTTCCTCTCCTATAAATAGGAGTGTTTACTAGGGTCATAGTAACGAAGTCTTTACAGATTTACATCTTGTACTCTGTAAAACTTGGAGGCGTAATTGAGCATAACAGATCATATTTACACACTGTGTCCAAATTTCGCATTAATACTTTGAATTCATACTCTGATTAATTCATTACTTGATTCATTGTTTCTTCATTATCCAAAATAAGATAAAACCCTAAAATAACAAGCAAATTTTGAAATTCAAGGGAGGAGGCTAGGGTTTTCCAAAACCCTAACCCTAATTTTGATTAGGGTTCATGGAGGCTAGGGTTTTTCGAAAAACCCTTTGAACCAAAAACCCTAAAAACGAAAATTTTGGCCTTTAGGGTTTAATGGCTATAACCCCTAATTTGCAATTCAACTATTATAGCAATTCAATTTAAAACAAACAATGGCTCTGATACCACTGATGGGTTTTAGGTAAAACAAATAAACTAGAAAACAATTCCTAAGTTCACATGCAACCTACTTTGGATCTATGTTTTAACTATTGAACATATAACTTTGAATTGCAAAACAAGAACCCTAGAGGAGAGAAGCTAATTTCGAAATTAACAAACTAGGGTTTTAGAATTACATACCTTTCAATTGTTATAGTAAACAATTGATAATCCTCTTGAACTTGATTTTCTTGGAAGCCTAGCACCACAAATGTAATGTCTCTAATGGAATCACACCCAAAAACTAGCAAGAAGGAAACTTGAAGGAGAGAGAGAGAGAGAGAGAGAGAGAGTATGCAAAATCGGCCCTAGGGTTTCACCAAAGAAGGAGTGGCCGAATTTAGGAGTTGGGAGGCTCCTTATATAGTTGAGGGATCTAGGGTTTATGGAAAACCCTAATACTCTTTTGCTTAGGGCCTAAGCTAACCCAAAGGCCTTATCCAAAGCCCCTTGGACGAAATCCTTAGGGTTTCCCCTATAGATTTCGTCCACCTCCTTCCAAGGAGGTTCTGGAGCCTTCCACTCAACTATTAGATAATTGCAAACTAGTCCCTGCACTTTATAATTAATACTTTTAACCCCAAAATTAATTCTGATTAATTTCTGGCTAACTATTAATTAAACATAATGATTTCTAATTAATATATTAATCTTTTAACATATTAATAAATCATTTATATCAATTTATTAATCTTATAATAAATCAATGTCTCTCCTTTCATAATTTCCTTGTCCAGTTGCTAGGTTTGAGGGCAACCCAAAAAGACTGTGCTGCTATCAATTCAAGTACATACCAATTATAGTTATGGGCTTAGATACCTAATCCAACCATTATATCTTACCCAAATGAGTCCTTATGATACTATAGTCTTAAAAATGTAATATTTACAATAATAAAAATAAAATCAATTATTAGTATCTTGAATGAATATCTTAATCCATTAACACCACACATGCTAAAAATAAAGTTAATGGAGTGTGAGTGATAAGATAGAAACGAATTGTTTTGAAATGAATTGTCTATTTTTGTGTAAAAAAAATGAATTGTTTTGAGGAGTTAAATAATTATGCAAGGGTTCAATGAGGAGAATAAGATGGTCATTAAAGTAATGAATTATGGATGTTAAAAAATAAAGTTGTACATATATATGTTTAATTAGTGGTTGATGTAGCAATCTATGAATTATGGTTACCACTAATAAAAATAAGCATATATAGATATACTGTTTTTACAGTGAACATTAAAATAACCAATAGATATAAATTGTTTTTTACAATAACCATTAAAATAATAAACATACATAAGTTACTTCTCCATCATATTCTGAAATCTGAACTAGTCACATTAAACACGTTAATGATGACTAATAATTAGATTATATGAAAATACCAAAATTTTAACACACTGTTGATATATTCCATACTTGTTATGATCAATCAAAAAACGAGAACATCAAATTCTACCATGAAAAACTAGCTCCTAACCGACGAAACAAAAAACCATACTCAATATATGGAATTTAAAAGCCCAAGCTCCTCATCATCCCCCAAACTCATGTTGGCTGCCTTTTCATCAACAATGCATTCGTCTTTCTCAGATGGCCTGAAAATGTAAAATAGCACCATACAGAGCACAAGATTAACGGTTTCATCTAACACAATATTAAACACCCACGGGCATTGGTAAGCTGCATAGTCAGGCCCTCGACGTAAAAGAATGCTCCATATGTTAAAATATACAATACCCATCACCAGCCATGATTCTGGTCTTTCAAATCTAGCCCTCGGCGACCACTTAAAGGAGACACAAACAGCAAAGCGACAAAAAAAATCTGCCAAAATAATTACTACTATCCAACTCAACCGGTCTATATAACTATAAGAGACAGTTTCGCCTATCAAGATTAAGTTTACATTAACGATAACTTGAATTAGGGTTACAGTCATAAAAACCAACTTGTCCCTTCCTTGCAAAGAAGGCTTCCGGAAACACCATCCGCTACCTGTCAACATGATCACGCAGTAGAAAAGCACAATCCTGATAAACTGAAATATGTAAAGCAACAGATCCCATCCATGAGGAGTACATGAAACCTCCAGGTAATGCTGATCGGCCAAGGCACACATAACAAGGTGAAAGAAAGTCGTAACAAGCAACCCACCCATAATTAAATGAACCCTGTGAAAACATCGCCGGTTTTTTAAGCATACTGAGATCCAAAACCCTAGTAAACACAGATAAACGAGGGAGAAAACGAAGTAAACAAACGGGAGGTGCGGTGGTTGGGGTGGTAAATAGTGTTTAGTAGTAACCTGATCGGTATGTAAGAGGGTCATATGTTGGTTATTCGATGGTGATTTTAGTGTGACGTTGTTAAATTGAAACGTATGCGCGGGTGCAGTGAAGATGAATCAAAGGAGGAGAAGGATTTTTCCTAGTAACCCCATTCTGAATCCCCGCCGGTGGCTGACAACCGAGGTGGAAGCCGGTGGTCAGAAACACGACGATAAAGTGTAAGACTCCTTAAATTCAAGGTTAAAACAAATTTTAAAAAAAAAGTAGGATAAATAATGGATGTATGTATAAACTATAAAGTATTAAGATTTCTTAGATGTTGATTTTGGTAACTATATATAAATTGATTCTTATTGATTGGTTTCCTAATATTCCAATTTTGAATCACCGGTGGTTAAAAAAAATTATAGATTTATGATCAAAATAAATGGATTCATACCATAAAAGTATTATGTATTTAAAGTGTAATTAGAAAAACCGGTAACATCTTTTTTATTATTGTTATGTCATAATTTTTTCGCAAAATTATCACTCTAGCTCACTTAACAAGTTTTATGGTTAACTCTTTTATCTTTTTTGCAAAATCAGTCAATTTATTTTTTTATAGAGACCGACTATTATTAGTTTTTTTGTTCTTTTAGTCTATTATCAAATTGAAAAATATTATCTTGAATTTAAACTATTGATATCACATATAGAAATATGATTTAATTTACAAGTTATATCATACATTGAAATATTATTTGTCAATAAACAAGCTTTTTGTTTTTTATAATTTTCTTTTTTTCGTAACATAAATATAATAACGCTAAAAAACAAAAAAATAAAAAGAAAATAAGTTGGACCAAAATTATAAATACAAATATAACTTTTTTATTTACTTTAATAAAAATAAAAAAATTACAAAAACTATTAATTACCATAATTGTAACATACTCTAATATATTAACAAATTTTATATTTTTTGAAAAGGTCGAGAAAAAGTTAAAAATACGAAAAAATGAAAACAAATAATACGAAAAAAATGAAAAAATTAAAAATATAAAAAAAAATTAAAATATAATATGAAAACAAATATAAAAAAACTAAAAAAAATACAAAAGGTATAAAATGTATGAATAAATTAGAGTAAATAAAAAACAAAAATAAATAAAGTATGTGTGTGTATATATATATATATATATATATATATATATATATATATATATATATATATATATATAGAGAGAGAGAGAGAGCTACGTTCAGGTATTCAAAGTAATTATTATGTTATTGTATGCATAAATGTGGGCCAATCAAAATTTAAAATAAAAATAAATAATTAAATAAATAAATAAGGGTAATAGGTAATTTGATAATTAGTTTCCACAAATAATATCCTATAATTATGGTAACCATTGACTTCAGCTACCTAGATTTTCTCCATCCATCGTCGGCTTTTTAAAACCACCATCTATTGCCGATACACCAGAGGATCTCGATCCGGAGAAATGGCTCCCCAAATGTCATTGTCGCATTCTGATGGTGCTCTGAAGATCCTCGACGTTGATGAGGAACCATGTTTCACCTTCTTCGATTCCTCCTTTATTGAAACTGGGTTAAGTCTTGAAGAATTAAGATGGAAATTATATGAAAAAAGCGTTGTTGTTGGACCACTGCTTTCTGTCGAGGTCTCGAACTCTCCTCCTATGGCTATGGAGGCCAATCCGGTTCGTGTTACCGTCGGTGACGCTGATCGGCCGTTTTTTCCCTTGCCGTCGGATGCTGTCGCTCCGGCTGATTCTATTCCATGCGAAGGAGTCGGCCCTCATCCTCAATCCGATCGTCGGTCTTCTCCTATGATGGCGGGCCAGGTTTTTTTTTGGGAAAGATTCCCCTGAACTCGTCAAACAGGTTTCTTCCTTCTGCTTCTTATTTTGACTGATTTACTGTAAACCAATGAAGTTTAATCTTCAAATGGGTTTTTGTAATTTGATTTGATTTCAATATATAGAATGGATGTTTGGGTTGATTGTTTGACAGAAATCAAAGAAATTTTGGATGTGTTTAGGCTTATTGTCTAATTCTTTCAAGGTGTAATATTTTGGGTGAATTGGGAGTTTGTTCTGATTGTCTAATTTTTACAGGAAATTGAAAGTTGTTTTGATGCACACCAAGTGCTCGCTAAAATGCTTCAACTGAATGGTATTTCTTCGTTTATAGTATTCTATCAGAAAAGAATGTTTTTATGATAATCATGAACATATTCTGTTAGAATGCCCCGAATTAATATAACTATTGGTAAAGGAATTCCAATTCTATCAGAATGGAATCACGAATTCCAATTATGTTGGAATGAAATACGGATATTTTCTCACTAATTTATTCATTGGATTTGTTTCCACAGAAGCTGATGCTTGAAGAACAGACCATGAAATTTGAACGACGCCTCTTAGCAACATTATTATTTTAGATTGAATTAGTGTATTTGTTAGATTTTGATGTTTTTTTCCCGATTTGAAAGTTTTTTAGTTTTATTCTTTAACAATAAATGTAATTCTTAGCAATTGTTACATGTATTCTATAAGAATTAATATAATTTTTGTTTTAATTCTTCAATTGCTGGTTCGAAAATTTGTTATTCTACAAGAATTTTTTTAAAGTCATGATCAAGAAATATGTTCAAGAATATTTTTATTATTTTATTGTTCTAGAATATTTTTATTTTTGAACATACTCAAACATATTATGTCAGAATGTCCGAATTAAAAACTTTATAATTCGTAAAATCGGATTTTTAAAATTAATAGAATCTATGATCCCTTAAAATATGCAAATTTCCTTTATTAAATCTATATTAATTGACTAAAATACCCTTCTAGTTAAATTAGATGTTATTTTTTCGATTATTTTTAATTCAATAATATGTATTAATCACGTTCTTAAAATAAGTAAATGATTGGCCCACATTTATGCATACAATAACACAATAATTACTTTGAATATAATAACCTAAGTCTATATATATATATATATATATATATATATATATATATATATATATATATATATATATATATATATATCACACCCTCGAACCAGACGGCGGAAACGTCCGAGGGCTCGTGTGACTATAAATTGAAATATAATCACAATGAATATACATGAAACATAACACCATCATCACCAAACATTACATAGTACAACTGGTATTGTTCACATCAAGTACATTGTTTTACATTACACATTCCAAAACATAAATTGTACGATGATTGACATTTGCATAAAAGAAATCCCAAAATACTCTTGATGATTCTTCAACTTATCGATTACCTGAGAATACAAGTTATTTTGAAAATGATCAACATATATAATGTTGGTGAGTTCATAAGCATGTTTGATTAAAAGAATTTGTATTGTTCGTGAAACTCAGAAAATCCGATATTTTCTATAAATTCTCTGAAAATGATGTAATGATCAAGTATAAATGTATGTGTGATTTCCACTTGTAAAAAAAACGTGTAAAAATAACGATCCAAAATTTCCTTGTATTATATCTGTTGTAAGTAGATGGTAATGAATAATAGTATTTCCCCAGAAAATCCGATATTTTCTGATTTATAAAAGTGTTGTAGTCCTTGTATTATCGTATGAATTGTTTCATATTATTATGATTTAAGCATTTTGATTCCCGTAATGTATCGATGGTAATGGATCTCTATGTGAGTCGTTATAACCATGCATGATAATGACTAATTTGCCTGTCTTGACATTTTTCCAAACGCCGGTTTTGATCAAGGTTTTGTCACCCTAGACTGGCCTAGTCTAACTGTAGAGAACAGCTCAGGTGTGGTGGAGTCACCCCCGTATAGATCTATACACAAACTCTTGCTCTTCCTCCAGGATACTCTGATTATAACTACAGGCTACGGCCATACACTCAATGGTGTCAACCGACAAGTCTCACTAGATCCCAATTATTGCCACATGAATATGTATAATGTTATATGTATTTAGATTTCCAAACACCAGATGATACTTGAATGTGAAAAGATACGGCCCAACAAACATGAAAAAGGACAGTTGTGGCCCATTAGACATGCAAGTTATTTCCAGGCTTGATAGTATGCAAATGGACACGTTAAAGCCCATTAAGCATATGATGAATTTTTCCAGGCTAAATTAGCATGTAAATGGGCCACTAAGGCCCAATAACATGTAAGGCTAATTTAGGCCCATTAAGCATGTAATTGGATCACGAAGGCCCAATAGACATGAAATGATTATATTGGGCCCAATAAACATGCAAATGGATCACGAAGGCCCAATAAGCATGTATAGTGAATACTAGGCCCAATAGTCGTACCGTTGTTGTATTTCGTTTGTTTGTTATAGTATAGTTCTTTTAGACGAAACATTTATCCATAATGTTATAAAAAGTCCAGTGTTTTGTTATAATAATATTTTTACTTCAAAATTCTATAATTTAAACTCATTTTTAATAAAAATTTCACTTTATGTCCCTTAAGAACAAATTTGAACATTTAAAGGCTTGTTTTTACATAAAATGTCATTTTTGGTCTATTTTAATTAAAAATAACGTTTTAGCCCATTAATTTATAAAAATTTATATTTTCGGCCCAAATGTTTAATCATTGACAAATTTGGCCCAAAAATACATATATTGACATTTTTAACCCATCTTTGCAGAAAATTACATTTTCAGCCCTTATTTAAATAAAATGACATTTTCGGCCCAATTTTTATAAAATTAACATTTTAATCCATAAAAATTGTCATTTTTGCAATTTGGGCCCAAAATGCTAAATTTTACACTTTTGGCCCTTTGAAAAGTATGATTATTATAAAAACTCATTTTTATACAAATGTGACCTTTTTGATCCTTATAAAACCGAAAGTGTCAATATTATTTCAAACTTTTGTTCATTTGTCAAGAATAATCCTTATACAAGATTTTTGTTTTGTTTTTCACATCTTAAACATGTATAACACTTTTATCCTTTGTAGTATGATGACTAAAGTATTTAGTTTATGAATCTTACCCATTTTTGTTAAAGTTTCGAGATTTATCAAGTTTCATCACATATTCATAACATAAACAAAGAAAATCACACATAACATGCATAAATACACAGATCTACACATAAATACTTGTATTCTCCCCCCAAAAACATATAAAAACCGAAAACAAGGGGGTATGAACTCACATTTGTTGTTGTTCTCGGTTTTTGGTGAAGATGTGAAGAGATTTTGGTCCTAGCAAGCTTCTTGAAGAACTTTAGAACTTCGATGGCTCTAAGATGCATGATTCACGAAATGGTATGAGTTAGGAGGAGATTTTTTTTGAAGAAATCAAGAAGCTAAACCATGGATCTAAGCAAAAACTTACCAAGGATGGTGATATTGGTGAAGAATCCTCTTGAAAGCACCCAAAATCTCGAAATTTTGATGGGAGAAGGAAGAGTTTTTGAGATGATTTTTGAGAGGGTTTGAAAGTGGAAGTGTCACAACTGGCAATTTAGCCAGGAAGTTCTATGATCATGTAAATGTCATCCATGATAATACTTGTAGTTCTAACATGAGATTATACACTATATTCATTCTATGACAACTAACATAATCAAGATTTACAATTTAAATTCAAAACTCTATACAAAACATTTTAAATAGTCAATTAAGGATTGGAAACCCTAAGAATCCCTGTTTAAGTCCATTATGGACTAGGATTTCCTTATTGGGGCTGATGGACCAATAAGCTTCCAATTTGACTATTTTGGGCTTAGGACCCTTAAATGGGCTCTAATTTGACCCACTTTCATGAAACTTGACATTTTGGGCCACAATGGGTCCAAAATAAATTGGTTTACCCTTAATGGGCCTTATTGGGCCATAAAGGAATTAATTAGCCCTAATGGGCCATAAACTCATTCCTTTATACCATATTGGGCCGTAAACCTTCCTAAGGGCCTAATGGGCCGAAAACTTTATTTTTGGGCTTCATAAATTCGAACAAGCCAAGTGAAGGCCCATATTTCTTCATCCTCTTTCCTCCTAGCCCATTCTCAGCCCATGCATATAAAAAAATTTAATAAAAACAATGAAAGGGTGATGAAATAAGGGGATGACAACACATAATTATCTAGCAAATAACTAGATAATCACATGTATCAAGAAACTCATTATCCATCATGCAAAAATCCCATTCATCCCTCTCTTCTTAAGGGTCTCGGCCAAGCTCCCTCACACCACCCTCATTCTCTCAAAAATCTTTCAAGAAAACTCTCTCAAACACTCAAGAACATCCTCCTTCTTTCCATCCAAATTTTCGAGATTTCTAAGTGTTTCAAGAAGATCTTCACCAAAGATCATCAATCTTGGATAAGTCATCACACATCCAAGCTAAATAACTTCATCATTATCCTAGATCACTCCTTCTAAACATTGTTTATGATCATACTCTTAGAAACCCCCCCCCCTAAGTTCAAGATCTACTTAAGGAAAGCTTGTTAGGGCCGAAACCTCCATCTTTTCTTTGCCAAACCAAGAACAAACAAGCAAGGTGAGTTTATACCCCTTGTTTTTTGTTTTTACATGATTTTTGGGGGAGAATACAAGTACATTGTGTAGATCTATGTGTTATATGCTTGATATGTGTGATTTCTTAGTCTATCTTGTAAAAATGTGTTAGATCTTAACACATCTCGACATCTTAAGAAACAATGAGTGAAAATCCATGAACTAAGACACCTTATACATCATATTATCAATTTAAAAGTGTTTACATGTTTAAGATATAAAAATTTAAAGCAAAAATCTTGTTAAGGGTCATGTTTGTCAAGAAAACAAAAGATAAGGGCAAAAAAAGTGACATTTACGGTTT